ATATTGTAGCACACTCAGTTCTAGTAAAATAAAGTGCAAGTTTCAAGCGCCTAAAAATTTTGCTTTTAGAATTTTGTTGCAAAATCAGTACTTTTAGTTGCAGTTGTATTTCCTATGAAACTCTTTTAACTCAATATGAAATTAGTGTAACGATTCCCCACGCAAACTGAAATTCCCCACAAATCGTGGAATTCCCCACGAGTTGGCTTCCCTGATGTGATTCAAGATTTTTTTGGTAACTGAGTGGTAAGAAATGCGTGCTATCACTCGGTGTGTGATAGCTTCAAGGAGCATATTTACCACAAATCCGAGCAGGCGCTAGCCAAAAATCTTTGTAAACTGTGTAACCGTATAATTTGAATTTTTTTTTTATTATTTTTTTTTTTTATTAAGGAACGTATGATTAAAAGAATCTGCAAAACTAAAATTGAGTTGAAATTAGCATCTACAGAATCTTTTAACACATAAATGTCGATATAACTTAGTAAAACTCATCTCGCACAGAAGTGCGGTCGTTATAAAAGTCCGAGTGGATATTTTGTTTATTTCATATTGAGGTATTATTTGAAAAGAATAAAAACATTTCGAATAAAAAATTAAATGAAATAATTTTATTTTCATCTTGCGCCTTTAACTTACTTTAGATTTGAAATTTTCAGGATATTACCAACTAGCACGTATAGTTCTATAATAAATGACCGATTAAAAGTAAAACACATTACTTTTGACAATAAAAATGAAATACATATGTATGCAGTGGTAACTTTCATTTGGACAGTACTGTATGCGTGTATATAGGATAAAGAAATAAAAAAAAAACAAAAACATTCCACTGATATAAATATTGTGTTCCATGTTTTTAAATAAAAGCTAGTCATCAGGAAAAAATTCATAAATTGTACACCAATTTCGCTGAAAGCTTTGCGGATTAATGAATGTAAAACCATTTAATTTTAGGCTTAAAATTTTCTGCAATCGAATTCGATTAATGCTTAATAATCACTCGGCTGTCCGCGTCAGCGCAAAACAGTAAGCGGTTGCGCGATTGCTTCAGTTCCATTACATTTGTCATTGTTTTCATTTCATTTTTGTAATTAAACTTGCGCTGCCGTTTTAATCAAGCCTCGTACAGAATAAATGGCTATTCATTCAAATACATTAAATTGATTAAACCAGCAACACGATATATGTATATTAAAGCACTGCAAATATACCTGCAGAAATACGCTTCACATGTGTACATGAGTAAATGGAACATATATTTTAGAGTACTTAAAAAGATAGGAACAAAAAAAGAGTACATTATAAATTTGAGGAACTGAGCAATGTTACTCAACAGCGCTCTGCTACATAAAACACTGTTCCAGAGCTTTTCCAGAGTACTTGAGTATGTTGATTGCATTTAGTAGTATTTGAAAACTTCAAAACTACTTATGAAGTTTTATCTTTTAAAATGTATGTATGCTTTAAATATTGTTTTACATTTCTCGCCGGACGCTTCAATGTTTGCAAAAAAGTTCGAATCTTTCATACATATACATACATGATTTATGTACATACATATTATGTAAATTTTTGATATAACAAAAAATGTGTGTCCATTTTCCCGCGACCTGTCTTTATGACCAGTTTTTATTGTCGAATTGCTCATACATGTGAAGTAACAAGTTTTCTATTTCTAAGCAGAAAATTTTTTTTACAAATTTTTAAATTTCCAAAATTCTACTTTGTGAATTTCCAAAGGCTTCTACAAACGAATTAAAAACTTCTACAAACAAATGTATGCATAGGGAAAGCTTGCTGCTTCATATGTATGTGCGCCTGGTATTGGGAAATGAGAGTATCGTATTGTACAAATAAAAATCGGTTTTCTGTATAAAATGAGTCCACTTTCTTTATAAAAATATGCTGTTGGCTAGATCATGATAAAAACATTACAAGGTAAATTCATTCCCTCAATTCGTCGGCCATGATTTTTTTCTGACGTTTGCCAACATTTTAAAATCATATAAAATTGAAAATAAAAAAATTAAATTGTTCACAATTGTTGTTGTTTGAGATTGAAAATGAGAATGTGTGTGTGAGTTTGAGTTTTGATTTTAAAATTATATTGTTGGCAAACGTCAGACTGCCTCTCAATGGTTTTACCTTATTATGTTTTTATCATGGGCTAGATATTCGGAGCGCCTTACATTGTTTCTCCATGTTTGCTATTTAACATAAATGTCAGCTCTAACATTAACATTATGTAGCATTAAACGAAAACTTCCAAAAATACTCAAAAAATACTTGTGAAGGAACATATTTTTTGTGGAAGTTTAACAGAATGGTACTGCTGATTTATGTTCCTCTTTTTTTCGGAACATAATTTGTTTGAGTACTTTTTTTTTATGTATACAGCGCTCAACATCTTCACTTCTCTTCCTTCTATGCCCTCTTTGTTAGAGTATGAGTAGTTTACATATTTGAAAAAAACTTCACAGTGAAGCAAACTGAATTCCAATGCAGACCTTTAATGTATGTATATTGTACAAGCCTATACACCGCTACACAAAAATTTAATCTTTAATTTATTTCATTCTAAATTTTGGTGGAAAACTTCTAGTTGCCAAATTTCTTTTAAAAAAATATTCAGCAATAAAACAATTAAGCACACATACATACATATAGTATACATCGACAAGTTTTTACTATTTATTAAATATGCATAGACCATTCTATAATGAAAGCCATGCAGTTTTATAGCTCATTCAATTCTTTTGTTATAGGGTGCGAGTTGTGCAAAAATTTTCCAAGTATAATGTTTAAAATTAAACACTGAGGGCAGACTATTGTATTTCAATAACATGGCTGAATTAACTTGCGGCATTTCGTTATGCAATTAAAAGTTTTTAATTTGCTAGAACAAAACGAGGATCCATTATTTTTTTTTTCTTTTTAGAGGGTAGGAGCATGATAGGCAAATACATACCTGCCGGCGACTGGCCATAGTCGTACTAAGATATGTATGTATGTACATTAGGGCTATGATTTTTTTTAGATTTAAATGCCTGTGGTGGCAAAGGATGAACTTTTGTATAAATTTCCAAAAAATAACAACAATTTTGATAAATTATAAAAAAAACTCCCGCGCATATCGGAATTTATTATCAGTTTCTAAGTGGAGAAAATTAATATTCAAACATGTTTTTCTTCTCAAATGTCTTATGGTTTTATTAAAGTAATATAGATTCGTAGATTTAGTGCTGATACACATCGTTTTTAAATCAAAACTTGGTAGGCAAAAAGGAATTTCGGTCGAATTTTTATACTAGGTATGGGGCTTTGCCATGCAACAGCCTTGTAAATGAAATGATAGTGTGCGCGGGACGTATTTTCACGAACCAACAAAAATATCGCCAAAAAAGTGATATATGGACAAAAGCTCATTAAATGCAAGCACAGGCAAATCAAAATTTAAAAAAAGTGTAAAAAAATCATAACCCTAATGTACATACTTATATTTACGAAGCGCTCTTCGCCTGCCAGTTGCGAATTGAAAAAAGTGAGCGTATTATATGAGCATTTTTTACGCTGCTTTCAATTTAATCCTTTTAAAACAAAGATATTTAAAATTGTTATAAACAATAAGCAAAATTACAGCATGTAAAAACACACCTCAACATGCATGTTCGTTGCGGCAATTGAGCTTTTTGTTTCCAACCAACTTTTTTGTTCTTGTCGAGATTGCCTTTTTGCATTAAAGTTAGAATAGGAGGCACACGAAAGTTTCAGGCAACATAAATGAAATAATTTTTCATCCATAGTTTATTTGTATCGCAAAGCGGATGATGTAGTAGTTTACAATATGTGTACGTGCTTGTGTGTTTACTGCTCGAACAACACCAACAAGCCAACCTAAAAATATTTACTTTTAAAATGCGAAATAATGCAGTTACCGAAAAAATACAATATACCTGACTTAATAATATGTAAAAAAAAAGCAATCGTACTTTATGATATACATGCACACATACATATGTATGTATATTAGTAAAAGCATTTAGAACACAAACACTAAGGACGAAAATTTATTGTATGAAAAAATGCAAATTGTTGCCGACAAGTCCGGTCGGTCGGTCATCCCTTCTGGGTAATTCATATATTAGCTATAATAAAATCTGGTTTTCATACTCCATCTAGCAGTGTACAAAGTGATGCATACAGAACCTGGTTAGTTTAATATTCATTGCCAATTCTCATTTATCTCGGTAGTTTTACTTATGTAGTCAGCATGGCGACTTCGATTGGCTGCTACCAAATACTAAAGCATGGAAAAGCTCATAAAGAAGCTCATTTTAAAAGTTTTTGCAGACTGTGTACTTTCGGAAGTTTTGTGGGAGAGTAATTTGAAACGCTTTGCTGGTGAAGGTATTTTTCTTACTGAATGTTTTTAATCAAATCTTTAATAATTTGAAATATATTTACATCTTACAAACAACTACGTAGGCAAAAGCATTAGCGTTGCCAAATATCCCGTGTTTGCGGGAACATCCCGTATTTTGCATTAAATTTGAAATGAAATATAGCTAAAATTACCGTTGATTTTTTAGAACTTTTTTGTGGAGGGTGTTGCGAATTTTCTTCCATATAACTGCCCATCTCCACAGGATAAAGTTTATATCTTGATACATATGTTAGAATATAAATAGCCAATGGAGACCGCTCATTGCTCTTCAAGAGCAATATATGTACATATATCAGAGCTTATATTTTGCCATCTATTGCCGGCAATTCGGTAGTTTCACAGCTACTTTTTCATTTGCACGAAAACTTCGTCGTGGCAACATTATTGATATTTTAATATAAACGCAAAAATTTAGCTGTTTTTTATTAAAATATTTATTATTATGTAATTGGATGTAAAATAGCCTATTTTCTAAATTTTTTAAGCGATTAAATCCGTCAAAAGTACGTTTTAGAAGCTATCTTCCAAATGCTTAAATCAAGATATAACCACACCCACACAAATATTGCCACTGATATAACATATATCTAGCAACCAAAATGACAATTGGACAGCAATAAATTTTATCCTGTGGAGACGGCCAGTAACGCATGAACAAAACTGACTTTTGTATATGGAAGAAAATGCGCAACATCCTCCTGAATAAAAATTCTAAAAAATCAGGGGTAATTTTTAGCGACTTAAAACTTGCAACTTTTCATTAAAACCACATACTCGAAATCTTACTAGGAAATCTAATTAAAAGACATTTTGATGAAAATTGTTTTAAGTTTAATTAGATTTTGTGAACTTTGTGAACTTAGCTTAGACAGTTTTATTTATCTGGTATCTGACATAGATCGACCCATATTTTAAGTGAAAATTATTAACAATAAATAAAGATAAGTTGCCAACAGCATCATTTTGAATTTCGCTGCTATTATTTTGACCGCAACTGTATCTCTTAGTTTGTTTTTATCGTTTTGTCAATTACATGTCTACGTACATACATATTTTTGTATGAATTAAATAGTGTTGTCATGAAATAAGTGTAATTTATCATAAGCTTATAACTAATCTGAAAATTACTTCGTTGAAATCGATGACCTTTGTTATTATATGGCTCGTAGTTGGGCTTTTAAAGCAAATCCTTAATTTTTTATTTGTCTCCTTAAATTTTTGTAAATCCCGTATTTTAGGAACAAATTATACGTTGGAAAAAAATTTGGCAACACTAATAAGCATAGGAGAATATGTAAACTTAAAAATGTTTAAAGTTTTTTTTAATTCCCTGTAAAATTTCAAATGATTAACATAATTAAACTGACATTATGCTAAGTGGAATAAAAAATCTGGCACTACAAAAGTGGATTTTTTATTTGTGAAACACTTGACGTCATTAAGTGCTTCAACCATGCACAAAGCCACAAAGGAGTCGGAAATTTGTAGAAAGGAGAGCCAGGATAATAATAATAATTATGCACATACCTGAATTACATTTGTGCCCTATACATATACCTACACACACATACATACTTATGTATGTCCATACATAAGCGCGCCAGAAGGCAGCCAACCACTTTTCCTTGCTGCTTAATTTATATTCCTAGTAGAGTTCATAAATGCCTTCTTAATTGCCCCAAATACATACCACATTCTTAAATAAATACGGCGCTTATGCTATTGGCGATAAGAACACTACCACAAAGGGTTTGAGTGCGAAATTCGAAAGCCTTAATATAGGACATTCTCCACTGCGATAATTTCTCATTTTACTTTGCAAGCAATTTATTATAACTTTAAGATATAGCTAACAAAAGCTGCACTTCATGAAACTTCTTCGCGTAGTCCGATGGTATCGTTTCACTTAATTTTTCAATGTTAATCTTAAATGAGAAAAGCGCTGGTCCAAAGGATAAATAAAATAAATAATAATCAATTTCCTGAAAAGTCACTTTCGTCACGGTTCCGTGAGCTACAGCTAGAATAGAGTTCGAAAAAAGATTAAGCTGCCTTAATACTTTACTTAAGTAACTTCTGATCTTGAAAATTAAAATAACGAAATGCTGACCAAGTATTCATGTTCTCCCATTTCTTTCAAAATGTTTTTAGATAAATAAAACTGCTAAGCCATCACTAGCAAATTGGCCATCATAATTTTCTTGTATGTATGTAATACTGCGCAGGAATGAACAACCCATTATAATTACTAAAAATTACTATGAATTCGTGTGTCCATTACATTTTTCCTTTTTACTAAATTGTATTTTATTTTCTTCATTTTCTCTATATTCTTCTCAGGCGTTATTGTTGCGCTTTTATTTCGCTTATTAAGACACTTGAAATGCTTTTCATTCCTCCGACAGCCAGCAGGCAGGCACACTGCATATATTTGACATATACATAATTACATACTTTGGAGTAAGTAGTGTGTACGAAAAGACTAACACAGCGGACTCATGTCGTCTTAGCAAGAATGAGCTGGCATCTGTATAAATTAATTAATTTCTCTTCAACCAGTTCAGCATTTCATATTTTTTTTTTTATTTTTATTTTTTTTTTGTGTTTCACGTAAATTAAAAAACATAAAGAGCTTAACTCCATAGATATTCCCATTTATTAACTATTTACAAGCATTTTTCTGCGTTGTCCAAAATATATCCAAGCATTTTTGGTTTTCTTTTAAGACTTCGATTCAACCAGTCCAGCATTTCATTTTTTTTTTTTTTTTTTTTTTTTGTGTTTCACGTAAATTAAAAAACATAAAGAGCTTAACTCCATAGATATTCCCATTTATTAACTATTTACAAGCATTTTTCTGTGTTGTCCAAAATATATCCAAGCATTTTTGGTTTTCTTTTAAGACTTCGATGGCGCTTAAAGCAAGTTCGCAATAAATGGTTAAACAAATTCACAACTTTTTCCTTAACTTTTGGCATCCGAAATGGTTTCCGTACTTTGTTTGCGTAACTATTTGAATTCCACATTCAACACTCAATGGGCATTCTGCGGTTTCGCTACATAGGAGACCGAACGTTTTTTTTGTGCGAATTTCTTGGCAACACTTCCCGTATCTTGGCCAACATTTCGACTAAAATCTAAATTTATTGCCAATCGGTCTTCACACATAATCCGAAATTTCCGTTTAGATTAGTGAATGACCCAGATTGTGTTTAAGCCAAACAAGCAAAATGCAATTCAAAAGGCAACTTATGCACGTTTACTTTATTTTCTTCTCTCGCAGGCAACCGGCTTTGGCGGCCTACCTGATGTCACCGAGCACTCCAATGCGCACCGCACACTCTCACGCCAGAACTCAATTTCAAACAGTGATTCCGGTGGCGAAATTGCCAGCATTGAAAAGTCAAAAGTGAACTTTGGCGACGGCAGACCGCTACCAACCGCCCACCCTGCCAACATAAAGCGTAAATCGAAGGCAACCCACCAAGCAGCTAGTGACAGCTGTGCCAGGGTGCACCGCTTAAAACCGCGACGTGGCTCCTGCACCATATTCTTGACTCTCGTAGCCGCGCTTTGCCTGTTTACCATCGCCGCCATGCTCGCATACCAACACTTTGTGGCGCCAAGCCGCAATTCGCATGCTCAAAGACTGAAAATCGTACAACGGATACTGAAAGAAGTGCCGCTAGTGGATGGCCACAATAACTTTGCGTGGAATGTGCGGAAGTACGCGCACAACAGTCTGGAGTTGGTGCACATGAGACGCGATCCCAGTGCGGAGGCTCTTTGGACCAGGCCGTCGTGGGCGCAAACAGACATTGAGCGGCTGAAGCAAGGACTAGTTGGCGTGCAAATGTGGTAGGTAATACAATACTGTTTGCATACACAAATGTTTCTACATACAAATGCATGGCTTTTGTTGTTTTTGGAATACTGAAAGTTTAAAATAGCAAGATGTCAGTGGCCACTTGGCTGATATTCGCATGCCTCTGGGGTGTTGTCTTGTCAGGTGTGTCAAATGCGGAAAGCTTAGAATGCAGAACATTCACAGCTGCGAATGACATCGTTACTAAATACATTCTTCACTCATAATACGCCGTGAAGGGCTTTCCTATTGAAAATCATCACACTGAAATAGGCACCATGCCAGGAATTTTCCAACGGCTGAGTTTGATGTAAAACGACATGTTTTTGACAGACACTAACAGTCGGGGCCCCTAAATTTAGGGAAAAGCAATGGGAAAAACGAAGTTGTGGCCTTTGAATTTTACTCAATCTTTGGTAATTTACATATCGCACACCCTCTTCGTAAAGAGGGCTAACTCAAAAACCTGATCCGGAAATAGAACTGCTTGTGGAGAGTGGTAGTATCCATGAAGAAGAAAATATTTACATTAACATCCACGAATTGATTTATGCAAAAATTTCCATCTATTTTTCTTTTATCAGTGCCGGTTTTGAAGAAGCTGTGCGATATGTACATACATACATAGTACGCAATTGGAAATCAGAAAGCAATATTCCACCAAAAAAAAAACAATATGTTGGACTCCTTCTTCGAAGGTTTTGAGCTCCACCTGCTAACTTATCTTATGCTTGACTTGCTATTAACTTTCAAGGAATTCCTAGACGATTTTGTATCACTTTTCCTACATTTTTTATATGCACTTCATGCAAAGAGGTTTTTTGGCAACCCACCTTCTTTACTAGACCCAGAAACAGGTGCCTTATGTTTCTTCTTCCTTCTTCCCATGCCCTTATTTACAGGTCAGCGTATGTGCCTTGTGAGGCTTTGGGCCTAGACGCTGTCCAAGTGGCTATAGAACAAATAGATATTATACGGCGCTTAACAGACATGTTCACCGGCGATACGATATTAGTAAGCTCATCGAAAGATATTTTCACAGCACGACAGCACGGCCAGATGGCTTCACTAATCGGCATTAAAGGTGGCCACGCTATCGGCTCCTCATTGGCTGTTTTACGGTCGTTCTATTCGGTGGGCGCTCGTTCACTCAGCCTCACGCATAAATGTGACCTCTCATGGGCGGGCTCTAGTGCATCAGAATCGGAGAGCGGACTCTCTGCGTTTGGTAAGGCTGTTATTCGTGAAATGAACCGACTGGGAATGATGGTCGATTTGTCCTATAGCTCCGATGCCACAGCTCGCGACGTTCTACAAGTTACTCGGGCTCCAGTTATATTCTCTCATTCTGCCGCAAGACAACTTTGCAATTCCACACGCAATGTACCCGACGACATTCTTCGATTGGTAGCAGACAATGGCGGACTCATCATGGTTAGCTTCGATCCAGAAGATGTGGCTTGTGGTCAGCAGGCATATCTGGGTGATGTAGTTGAGCACATAAAACACATCAGAGCCATCGCTGGAGTGCAACATATCGGGCTGGGCGCAGGTTATGACGGCATTGAGGTGCCACCCGTCGGTCTTGAAGACGTTTCCAAATATCCAGATTTGCTGGCGACATTACTTCAAGATCACAACTGGAGTGAACAAGACATAGCAATGCTGGCCGGCAAAAACTTTCTACGCATCCTGGAGACCGTAGAAAATGTACGCGATTACTGGAAGCGCGCCGACATTCAGCCACTCGAACAGACTGAACCACAACCGAAACCCCAGTGCACATACATGTCGTCGTGACCACAGCTGCAGCCGATGCGCAGCAGTTATGCTGCCGCGCAAGAATTAGACCTGAGACAATGCAATAGCATGCTGCCAACATTGACTGACAACGGCAGCCTCAAATATTATTGGGTCTGCATGATTGCACTCTTGGGGTGGGTCGGAGCAAATAATCAAAGTATACGCACACTGATGGATGCAGTGAGCTTAAATGTAATAAAATTAGTGTTTTAGGCAATTCATTTCATTTAGATTACTTCGCGTGTATGTATGTGTAAGTCTAATGAAATTTCTAGTTTTATTTATTTAGGTTATTTATATGTAAATGTATGTATGTAATCTATAAAAACTTGCACATCACCGTTCAAGCACATACACTACATACATATGTATGTACATATGTATTTGATTTAAGCAAAAACTTTGTTGTGAAAATGAAGTCTGTTAAGGAACTGCTCAATAACTAAATACAACTTTACTTGTTTAAGCGAAAATATTAAAATACATATGTATGTATGTAAAACCACTTTACATATATAAATTTAGAGATTGCGGAGTTAGAAAATTAAGTGGTGCACAAGCAAAAAATTATAACCATATCCGTTCGAATTATTTCAATAGAGCCTTGTTTCAGAACATTTGAGAGTGCACAAATACGTATACATACATACATACATACAAACACAAACATGTATCTATTAGTATGTATGCTATAATGTACCTTTGTAGGCAGACAAAATATACATATACATAGAATTATAGGCAATTTCAACCATAGATGCACACAAGCATTAAAATAAAAAAAAAAGTGTTTATAGTTAAATATATCGTTTTAATTATCTGTCTTAACAGATGTAAGATGAATGTGCCAACAAATATATAATACCCATACTATATACTAGACATACTACTTACATATATACTATTCTTTTTAAGAACTCTTTTTTTAGTTGATGCTTAGTTTATCGTTAACAAGACAATCTTTACCACAATTAAAAACCTAAGTAGTTTGGGGATAAAAACCTGCATTTGTTTGCATTTTTGCACATACCCAATCACATACACATCTTCACACACAATAGGCTGATTTCAAAAATATGAATATTGTCATACAAATTCTTAAAGGATGCGGATATGATTACTTTCAAATGAAACTTTTCTTTTTTATTTTTAAACTTATTTTCGGGTATATTCTGTAAATGCTGACTGAGCTGGCAACACTTCAATGTATGTAAGTGACTAATTGAAATTTCTACTGTCTTAAATTAGGCAAACTGGGCTAGTTCACTTTGATCGAATTCCAAGGGGTCAGAGGTGCGTACTACCACACTGTAGGACCCAGGCTTGATCCACTGTCAAAGCAAAATACCAAAATAAATTATAGAAAAAGTTTTTTCTTAACAGCAGTCGCCCCTCAGCAGGCAACGGCAAACATCCGAGTGTATTTCAGCCATGAAAAATAGATTCTCATAAAATTAAGTTGCCGTCTGGAGGCGCCGTAAAACTGTAGATTCGTCCATTTGTGTAACAACATATTCAAAGTATATTTCAAACATCAAAACGGCCACACCACAAATTTAAGGAGAAGCTCGGCCAAACACTTAGCAAAACTGTAAGCGCCAAAACATTTATTACTCATATTACTTATTCTCAGAGACCGTACCGGTATTGAATTTTTAAATAAAAAAGCAGACAATTTAAGTTATTTTTTTACTTTTATCATTTTGAGCAAATAATACCGATTAATTCTGCTTTCTATTTTTATAAGGCAAAAACAAAAGTTAAAAGAAAGTAATCGGTAATTGTTGCCTTTCATTTTAGAAGGTTTAAGTTTTTTGAAAAGGGTTGCCACCTGCTTAAAAAATCGGAATTACATCGTTTGCGCAATTTTAAAACATGAAGTTGCCACCTGTTAAATTTTTTGTTTCGTGCAGAGCGTCAGATTTATACCGTTCTCTCGATTTTAAAATGAGGGTTCAAATGACAGGGATTTACCTACATACGTGCTTTGTTTTTTTAAGGGTTGCCGCTTAATAAAAAATGCATTGTTTGAAATATAAATCGGTAAAATATCAGAATATGGGCATCAAGCGGAAGGGTTTTGAGATTAAATTAATATGTTGGTGTCTTTAATAGAGCAGCTGTTTAAAACAAGATTTACCCAAAGCACGTCAACGAGGTGGCAACGCTATTCAAAAAAAAAATAAACCTTCTTGCACATCTAGAAGCCTAGCCCATTCATTTGACACCTGATTTTTTTTAAATACAACGAGCGGTGTAGATTTCATAATTTTAAGAAATGTGGCAACCCTTTTCAAAAAAGTCGTACCCTGCTGTACATTTAGAGGCCAAGCCCTTTAATTTGGCACCTCAGTTAGAATAATCGGGGCATATCTGGTGCCGTTAACAAAAAAAAAATGCCTTCATGTATAGCAGTGATACCCAAAGTGGTCCAAGTGAACCCCCAGGGATCCACGGGAGACTCAACAGGGGTCTACGTTGACGTTGGGAGGTCCACGAGTTGAAAGGGGCGTCCACGAAAATGTATCTGGTTTCGATAGTAAAGAACCCAACTGGTTGCTTGATAGCCTATTTATTTAACTTTAATTTTTTTGAGTGCTTTGACGCACTGGTGAACTTACCGTCACTTCGTGTTATCCATCATACGTGGGGAATCCTTAAAGGCCACCTGCAGACTAAAAAGAAACGGATGTTGATATAACACTGAGTGAGGCGATGCGGAAATTGCCGGCAGCTGATATTTGAGCACTTGTGTCTTTTCATTGCTACAGCATAGTACGACACCATTACCTTTGTTGAAGAGATGCTAGAGAGAGAGAGAGAGTTTCCTGAGGGCGAATGCTGGTTTAGTTCCAGCACTGAGCCCGCACTCGTACATTGTCGAATCTTCACTGATGGCTCTAAAACTGACTCAGGGTCAGGATCTAGAGTATTTTTCGAAGTTAATGGGCATAAGCTTCACTTTTTCTTGGAGAATATGCTTCGGTCTTCCAGGATGAGGTATTTGCAATCCCCAAAGCCATAGACTACGTGGTCGAAAATAGGTGGATGGGAAGTGGTTTACGTTTTTGCTTTACTGTAGGTGCCGGGAAAATCTGGAGTGCCTGGAAATGAGACACCTGACCCTTTGGCCACGATTGGCTTAGGCCAGGCATTCCTCGATCCGCAACCAGTTATAGCATTCCCCACTTCGACCATCGAAGCCACCATCAGAAACTGGGTGGATACTTCGCTCAGCAATGAGTGGGAGCCATCAAGTGGATGCAGGTGGGCAAAATTCTTGAGCTTCTTGATTGCCTGTTTGGTTATCATCGATTTATCTAGATTCGGCCTTTGCTTTTTTGTCTATTTCTGAATTTGAAGCTTGGCGTAAAAAGCTTTGAAGTTTTGTTGTTTCAAGTTTTGTGTTTTAAAAATGCGAGTGACGAATATTTTTCGAATCATTTTAGGCAACAATTACCGATTACTTTCCGCTCAAAAAAATTAAAGGCAAGGTATTATTTGTTCAAAATGATAAAAGTCAGATTTTTAAAAGTCATAGAGGAATCACAATCCACAATGAGTAATGAGTTTAATGGTGCCCTTGAAAAAGCTATAGCATAATATTTTCGCTATGCCTTTTTGATGTCAAAATTTTTAAAATAACTTTAATTTTCCGTCTCTGCTTATTCCATTGTAGGAAAAATCTCGAGATTTGAAATTACACAAAAAAAAGCGCCGAAACACGTTTTTAAACTTAACTTTGAGATTACGAATCTGTGTTCTGTTTTTAACCGACTTCAAAAAAGGAGGACGTTATCATTTCGTCGGAAAATATATTTTTTTGTGTATGTTACCGCATATAATTCTATAATTCTTTTTTTAAAGGAAAGGTGGTACCGCAGACGTGGCCCATAGATATTTTAATTTTTATGAAAAAAAAATCAAATTTTGACAAGAAAAAATAACTGATTTTTTGCAAATTGTTTCTTTAAAAAAATCATGCTACTAACGAAGAAAATCGATGAATAAATAAAAAAAAAAGTTATGAATGGTCAAATGGATGAAATATGAGCAGGGAATAATGTTGCCATACTCGCACGTAGATACTCGTACATGGCGCATGAGTAACATTTTCCATGTTAAAGTTAGATTTTTTCATTCATAATGCAAACTTAAAATAAAATGTCTTTGGAAAATAACCTGATCTAGAAAAAATGGTATTCTTTTGTGATTGCGTTCCTACAATTCGTTATTATGCATCTTTTAATTTCATGTTACCGCAGTCCAATTACCATAGATTGAAAAGGTTAACTTGCAGAAAACCTAAATGTTGCTAAGTCACTGCATTGCCGACACTTCCAGTGATTTGGGGAGCAATTCCGGCGTCAGAATAAAGTAAAGGCATCGCTTATGTTATCATTTATATTATTTATGTTCGTACGAAAATTTCATATACTTATGTATGTATGTGCATAATAATTATTTCTGTATGACTTTTTAGTATACATATGCAAATGAAAATACATTCACACGCATCCGTATCCATACCTACATACATACATATGTACATATGAATTTGTATGTGTACACAAAATCTTGTTTATGACAATGTGATGATTTATTTCTTTCATGCACCGGCAATAAACACAGAAAACAAATAAGTCATACTTAACTATAAGATAATCTATTGGTGAATATATGTATACTTACATGTGTGTAGGTATTATTGAGTTACAATAAAATAATACATACATATATACTTATACGAATATTTAATTACACCGAGCAGGTTTTAAACACATACAAATGAGTGAAAATTAAATGACAGTATCGATAGTTAATCATAATTTAAGTGACGCACAACCGATTGTTCACACGCACACCCACACATACACACGCACACACACACTATAGGAATAATAAAATTGCAGTGAGGATTAAAAATTTAAACTGCGGAAAATACTTTTTATTTATTTAAATCCACCTATACATACTTACAATGGTGGACGTAAATACATACACATGTACGTACATAACTACATACATACATACATACATACATACATAGTTAAGCGCATACTTTATTTGTATGGGAAATCACATTCATTCAAACAAAAGTAACTAGCGTGAAAAGTTTTTAATTGAAACAAAAAGCTCCCAGTGCAACCATTTGTCAACTCATTCTCTCACCATACGTACATACTACACACATATACACATACGCATTCGTATGATATGAAACTGCAATAAAATTACAAAAAAAAAAAATATAAATATAAACACAAAAAACTGCTGGCTTTTCTTTTCATTCATCGAGAATTCACGTGTTGGTTTGATAAATTAGCGACACTAATTGACATTTCATGCGCAATGACGCGTAAGTATATACACACCTACATACATACACGTGTGCATTTACATATATGCAGAATACACATTAATATAAATATTTTAAGTACGACTACGCCAGAGCATGCCAATTGCAAATAACCAGTGCAAGAGTAAATAAAGGTAATAAACATTATACATACAAACATATGTTCATACATATATTGAATAAAAACTGCTCCAGAAAGATTTTTAGCTGGGAGAAACGTTCTATGTGGATCAGTTCAAAATAAGCAGCCATCGAGTTAAATATGCACACAAATATGTTCGACACTTTTCTTATAAGGAAAAAAATGTGCAACACCGCAAAAAAATTACAAAAATTAACGGTATTTTGTAGGTACTTGAAACTTGCACTTTAATACACTACTTATGTGGAATTGAGTGGATTTTAAAACTTCAACCTAAACATTTTCAAAAATTTCAGAATGG